TGACGACGACTTGAGGACATTCGATTTAAAAGTATTTTAATTCCTTGACGGACAGTTCCTCTGACCATCCTCTACTCAAGGAGAAAATAAACTAAAAAATAGTCGTAACCGAAAATAAGCAGCTAGCAGCAGGCTTATTCCTGCAATTAATGATTGGTTCATGTTGAAAAAGCGCTACAAGGCTCTGGTCTGAAGAATTTCAAATCAGTACTGAATAGATGGGTTCTGTAGCTGAAAGAGTCCTTCAATTTTATGAGTGTGAAATTAGCTTAGAAGGATAAAGACACTAATTTGAGATACGGCACATATCCATAATGTAGAGGTGCAGGAACATAATGACGGGCATACATAATATTAAGGCAGAAGATATATGGAGACTATTTGGAGGAGAGAGCAGGAAGACCTGGAGGGACGAAGTGGGAACGACGTAGAATGCCATCCTTCCATAGGAGAGACTGAAATTGCTTTTGGAGAGCCATCTCGCTGGCGCTCATTGCGCGTGACCGTTGCCTGCGATCTCTCACATCCCTGTTTAGGAGTTGTCCCGAGACTATTCTGGATCAAAGCAGGCATAAATAAAAGAATAGGGAATACTTGAACTACTTACAATCAAAGTCTACAGGCATGGTTTCACGAACTCCCTGCTTCTGCTTGCTAGGTCAATTTACCTCGCAGTTGTATCCATGCATACTTGCGTGGGGAGTCTCGGGTGCAGTTGGTATTTCGGACAACTACTCACTCAAATCTTGCCTTTGAACGGATGGGAAGTATTTGAGACTCGGCTCGGGGCCCCTTCAAATAACTAAGCCTTTTGTCCACTCTAGGGCGGAGGCGAAGTATTATACTTGCAAAGTGGTCCGGGTTCGAATCCCAAATCGATATATGCTTGGGTCATCCAAGCCTCCGATCCTCTTGGGTCGGTTAACTTGCATAAGAAATCTGGAAGGAATAAAGCACTCACCTGTACATCGCCCTGCCACCACAACTTACTGTATAGGCCACATATGCATTCAATACGCCACTACGAATTCGGATTACGTCCAATGTGGGGCGTATCCCTCACACAGGATCGTTAAGCGTCCAAGGCTTTATTCTATCCTCTATTGCCCAGATTGGGAAAGTCTGGCTAACTGCCCGGCGTTTAACCAGCCTACATGTCCGATTCTGATAAAGTACCCGTGGGTGCTCATATGCCATGAACAGAAACATAGGCTGCTTTCATAGTCCGCCGGCACGCCGGCGGACTATGAAAGCAGCCATACACGGCCATCATTTCAATGAACACGAGGAAGCCTGAAAACGGCAGCGTTGGGTAGGATGGCTAGAGGGATCTAACAGAATCTTAGGAGCAAAACAGACCGCCTAAAATAGAAGAACTAGGATGGCGATCCTACTTTCAATGTTCAAATGTTTGCATCGGAAAGGGGTGTCATCTGATGACTCGTGGGGGCTCATATGCTGCAAGGTAGTAAGTTCAAGTGCGATGTCCTCCTACTGACCGAGACTTCTTTGCCTGACTTCAACTTCATAGGCTAAGCAGCAACATCACGCTACGAAGAGGAGGAGCTGGTAGCATTTTACGTGGACTCGGAAAGGCTCTTCAGAGAAATCACATTTTCCTCCAGACCATCGAAGAAGATTTCAATGCCAAAATCGGGCTCGAAAGAAACGAAAGAAAGGTTGAAGAGCTACATAGCCTCTCAGATTGGAGTGGGAAGAGGATGGTGAAACACTTCCTAGTTTATCATGCCGACCCACACTATCCGCGGTAGCTCACAGTTCCAGAAGCCCCTCATTTGCGATTGACATGGAAGTCATCCAGTGGACAGTTCCTTAAAGAAGTATCTTTTATCGAAAGCCCTGCCTGACTGATGCCGCTGTTGTTCCGGAGTCCATCGTCGCTTTCTTGCTGAATTCTGTTTTACAGTGCATAGAAATCAACTGAGACCACGTGGCTCGTTTGCGAGTTTCTGGGAAGATTGGATCACAACAACATCGATAGAGAATATAGAAGGCTGTCGAACATCTACGCGATAATGCTAGAAAAGCAGAGAGTCTACGAGCAGCCAAGAGTGTCTCTCTTTGAGAACTCTCGAGCTGATACGCCAGCAAGAAATCGCGAAAGCTACAGAAAATCATGAACAAACGTCCGAACTTGCAAAGATTTTAGTGAAGCGATAAAGGAAGTCTGACAGAAAGGAGAGCAGCAGTTATGGACGACGCCACCGATGCCGGAAAGAGCATTCGCAAAACCCGATTTAGTTCTACCAACTATGTATGAAGGAGATACCGTTTCTCCAGTTCTCCCTTTAAAAATTCGACATGTCATCACATCGGCGATGATTGTAATTGTGAATTATACGGCACCGTGTTCCGATGGGCTTAAAGGCACCATTCACGACTAAAAGTTATTGAGATCTTACCTTATTAATACTCAGCGGCCCCCATGGGTTGTTGAAGGGACCCTCTCACTCCCCCAATCTCGACGTCCAGGGCGTAGTGGCAGCTCCGTTGTTGACGTAGTTCGCATCTCCGCCCCTCGACTGATGTCACGTCAGACGAGTGTCGAGACGACACAGCGTCATGTAATCGCGTCAGGACCCACCCTGAAGTGCAATTTGGCAAATTGCCAGAGTCGCAATGTGTTGTCGGCTATTGCAGACAACACACTGCGTCTCTGGTCTGGCAAATTGCCAATTTGGCCGAACACCTCCTAACCACCGTTATTTCAATGTGAAACTCGTCCAACCCCCTTTCCAGCTCTTTTTTTGACCCTTTGTAGTTCTTTTTGTTTGTCTTTTTTTGCGGTTTTTTCGCTGTTATCGCTTTATTCTAGAGTAGTTCTATCAATTCCCGTCAAAAAAGGGTAAACTACATTTTTTGCTAGCGGTGCCTTTAAACCAGAACATCCAAAGAGCCTTCACCAGTTGTCGTCAGAACTCTGGCTAGGCTCTTCGCGCGGTACCTGTCGGAATGCAAGGTGCCCTCGTCGTGGAAAACTAGCAAAACTATGTTGCTGTACAAGAAGGGAGATCCCGACGGTATTGGCAACTATCGCTCAATCTGCCAGCTGCCTGTAATCTACAAAATTTCACACTCATCATCCTCAGTAGGATTGGAAGAATAGTAGATGAAGGACACCTATGCGAGCAGGTAGGGTTTGGGAGGGCGTTTAGTACAATTGATCACATCCGCACTGTCAGTGGACTCATTGAAGTAACGACAGAAGACAGAGTCTTTTGTCTGACGTTTATCGTTTCGAAGAAGGACTTTTATGCCCAAGGCAGAAGCGGTAATTAAACCCTGGGTAACCAAGGTGTTCCCATTCAATAAATAGGAATACTACTTCTACGAAACTCCATGACCGGAATCTCGTTATTTTATAAGGAAGTCACCATCAACGTGAAGCGAGGGCTTGTTAGGGCGATGCCTTGCTCGCCCAAACTTTTCAGTGCCTTTTGAAATTCAGTGCTCTCACAATCACATGTGTCATTTGGAATGGGAAGCCTTGGGAGTGAAGTCGGCGGAAGCTCGCTAACTTCTACCGTATTTCCTACAACTTCGATTGAGGACTGGATTAGGTCTAGAGGAGCAGGATTCGAGACAGAAACGGAAATTTAGATCGAACCTTACAGTAATCCCACTACAAGCCCTGGCTCAAACGGGAGCTCGTGATGCGGCGCAACCCATAATCACCCAACACCACCCAGCTTTTCCCTTACCCGAGGTCCCTCGTTGATGCGTCGTATAGGTGGCGAATGAGGATTTCTGTATTTAAGTAGGATTATGCCGTGAAAGGAGGTATGATGGCTGTGGAACGCCACGTCCATTAAATTTTGCTCCATCTTAAAGGCCACGTAGCAAGCGCTCCTATATCGACCTATAAGGGAACCTTTATGAAGGAGCTCCTGTGTACTGGAAACCACGACTCGGGAAAGAGTTCGCACAGAGCAAGTAAAACTTTGATAGGGAGCCACATTTTTGTTTATCAGCATCCTGCTTTTCATGAAGTAAATAAATACACTCCATGGGACCTTTATGAAGGAGTTCTGGGAGAATTCTCTTAAGCCTGCCTCAATTTTCTTACACTGCTGCGTTGATCCAGGTACCGTACTCCCTCCCTGGTCAAAAACACGGATAGGAGTCTGTAGTTGTAGCGTAGAAACTAGGACATCGTGGGCGGTGCGAAGGGAACACCCGGCCCACATCCCTTACCGCCTTGACCACCAAATGCAAATGCGGTAAGTACGATGTCGAACTTCACAGTTTGATCATGAAGAAATGGGACAATTCCACCCACTGCCTTACAAATACGGAAGTTGTGGGTGGCATGGCGCACAAGCATTGCCACAAAAACAACTCACCCGAACCCGATCGCTTCCCGTTCGAATTTTTATCGATTGATGAGTTGAAATTCAAAAATCTGGGGTGTCNGAATCCCAGTCACCATGTCCTACCGATTTCTACTTTTTCGAAGGCCTATGAAAGTTGAAGTTCAGTTCCCAAGCAAAACAAGTTTCGAATTCATCTGGGGGTGTCCTTTTTTCGGGCAACGACACACCACGCAACGCCTGTCACGCGCCCTCTGCAGATTGGAACGTGACGACTGCGGGGTTTCCGATTTCGAATCGTCGCTGCCGACGCAATCGGCTTCTGCTCAAACATCATCTGGGTGTTCTTCATTCTTCCCAATCTCCCATAACTTTTGGCTCTTCATTTAGGGAAAGTCTTTTCACTGGGGAAAACGTTACTCTTCTGGGAATTCCCATACGGGCTATCTTTGGCGTTTTTTCTTCAATTGCCTTGTTTTTTTACGTGCCTTAGTTTAGTGTATTGATTTTCTGCTACTTTAGGACTGGGCTAAATCGCTGAATCCCGGGTCGTGTGTGAGTGAGAGAGTGTGTGGGAGTTTGTATTATTATTATTATACTGCGAGTGTGTGCGGTGGAAGAAGTGTCCAGAAGCTACCGCAAAACGAATAGCAAGAAGCAAGCGAAAAAATGGCAGCTCTAACGGCTACACCGATGGTCATACTTGAAGAAGCAAAGAAACAGTTCCAAGGAGATGGAAAATTGAATGTTCAACTTCTTGATCAGGTTTGTTTACCAACAAAATATTGATTGTTTGTTTCTTTGGGAAGTATGAAGTCTTTTGGTTATAGGTTGTGACAATGATGAACCGAGCTACTGGTGAAGAACAAAAATTGGCAAATATGATTCTCGTGGAATTGAAAGAAAACCCAAATTCATGGACCAAGGTCTGTATAGTGGTTATTGCACAGCTCCCGAATAGGGAATTTCATTGTTTTCCTCTCCAAACAGGACACGGGAGCAATATAGGGACTATTTTTCACTTTGTTGTCAGGTCCAGCCTCGCATTGTTATATTGATCGAGGACCGGGTCAGGCTGGTCAGGTGACGTTTAATATTAATGGCTGGCTCCGTGAACTTTTAACTACATCTCATGGGTTCAGAACTGAAAATCATCAAGTTCGTAGGGTGAATTTGATTAGAACACTTCAGAGAAAGTCTGAATGTAGTACATTTTGCTGGTATCGGAATAATATTATTCATTAATCCGAAATTGTGCAGCAAAAGTAAGCTGGCTATAGACTGGCAAACGGTGTAGGTTACTTGCTGGACTAGTACAAGGGAAGGGAAAGTCCTTTAGGAATGTATTGAGGGCTATTCTCAGTTTGTTTTGAGCATTGTCTTCAAGCCGCTAAAATTTCAATTGTAACCGTTTCTCTGCTATTTTCGATTGACTTTTCACAAATACCCCATGAATCCACATTGTGGCTTTCCATGTCACGTTGCGCTCAGCTTGCTCGTCCCAGAAGTTTCTTTTATGATGCTGCAAAACTTTTTGACTGATAGGGTTTGCAGGGGACCCTGGATCATGTCATTTCTCAAATAAAGATACCGGAAGGCTATTTCTTTGGCTTCCCAAATGATAAGTCATTTTACTATTCAAAGCGATAGAAATAACGCAACCGTGGGATAGGGTTGCGTGTTGGGAGGATTTTTCTGTCACAACGTTAGCAACTTTGTAGAAAGCATTGGGTGCTTAGTTTTTGGAAGGAAGGGGTGGTGAACAATAATGCGCAGAGCTGCATGTGCCATGATTGCCAATCTAGTTGCCATCATAGTGAAGCGTCATGTGATAGCTCGAATCTTCATCCTAAAGATTCTGCATTAGCACTATTGACAAGGTGCACCCCGAGGAGACCATATTTTCTAAACATATAATCAGATGGATCACCCAATTTGACATTCAATAAATCCTTTTCTAAATGAATTTCTTTACATGGAGGAGTTTTTCGACCTAAATAAGCATTCGACGTTTAGCTCCCTTTGTTTATAGGGATGATTTTTTAGGTGGACGCCATTTTGGAATACTCGGACCTCGCGGAGTCGAAATATTTTGCGCTGCAAATACTTGAATCTGTTATTCAAACAAAGTACGTATTGGGTTAAAAGTAAGTTTCCCTATTGTGACGGTTATTCTTCAAAAATTTTCAGATGGAAGTCATTGCCACTTGTACAACGCGATGGTATAAAAGGTTTCATAGTGCAGTTCATTCTGAAGCTTAGCGAATCTCGCATCGAATCGGAAAAGAACTCACTTTTGCTACATAAGCTGAATCTCGTTCTGGTTCAGGTATTCTGGTACTCTGTTATCGTCTAAAACCTTTCATTTCTTACCATGTTTACATGAACTTTGATGCATTTGCTTTTAGATTGTCAAGCAAGACTGGCCGAAGAACTGGCCTTCTTTCATCACAGACATTGTTGAGTCATCAAAGACGAACGATAACATTTGTGTGAATAATATGAACATCCTGAGTCTCTTAAGGTGGCTTTTTCGTATACGGATAAAGTTACTTTTCTTAGCAAAGGCCCATCAATTATTTATAAAGAACCGCAACTAAAATATCCCTGAAAATAAACGGTGGGCTGAGCAGGGAAAGTAGGTTGTTGCTAGACATTTCTGGCTGTGTTCATGCGGCTTTTAGGGAATTTTCTGAAAGGTGGGGATCAGCTCCCCTTTAAAAGGAAAGAGTACTTAGGAAAGGATCTGCTGACTAGGCTTCCCTGTAGTTTATAGCTGCCCTCGTCAAAACTACCAATCCTTGAGGAAAAGCGTAAACTTTTTCCTTGCTTTTGATTTACTCCCATAGTCACCGTTCAGAATCCTTATTCTGCTCTCTGTATTCGAGACTATTTCATTTTTTTGCTGTCTAGTCACACACACAATATGACCTTGACTGCGATTAGTACCGTTCCAGGCTACCCTGTCTCGCTAGGAAATGCAAAAAAAAACCACGAATTTGTTGATATATCAACATTCAAACCCGTCTCAACATCTGAACTTGAAGTATTTTTGAAATTGCATTTTGAGATCATGTGCTCAACACTTGTCAGCTTTTACGAGCAACACTTGAAAATAATGCGAAGTGTTTTGTCAGGAGACCACTTAAAAAGTTGAGCGTGCCTTGTCAATTTGCGAACTCGTCCAATATTTCCGTTCCTACGTTTATGGATAAGGTGTTTTCCTAGAGGTTAGATAACGGTCGGAGATAATAGTAATATGATAAGGTAATGGTAACGAGGTGACGTAAGAACAGGCGGCATAGCAACTAAGAAAGTGTTTGCTGGCAAAAGAAAAAATTTCAAAGCGAGGTTTCTGCAAAATCATCAGTGTTGAATCGAATGAAATTGTTGATTTAGCCCAGGGAACATTATTTTTGATTTTTTTTAGCTAACAAAACGAACCCCCACTCCATTTGGTGCCCCTGTGCTTATTCCCTTTGGAATGAATTTTTATGAAAAAAGTGCCGGAACGAGAAGGACCGCAATTTGGCACTATTTTGACGTGTATAAGTCTATCTGAATCAGTTGCGAGCCCGTGATAGCATTCAATAGTCCCATTGCCATACAGGAGGCCCCGTGATCCCGTGTGTCGCAAATCATTTTGGTAAATAACGCTGACGAACATTGATCAGACATTTCTTTCGTAACAATATTTATTGTCATAAGGGGTACAAATGTGAGCTGTTTTGTGGAAACGTTCACTGTCCTCTAGGGACAAACAGACAACAATTAGCACATTGAATGGGTGGCGGAAGTGGAAAATGTATGGAACTGTGGTATTTTTCTGCAATGGGGTAATTGTAAGCAATGTATGGTAAATTACGAAAGGCAGTTTAAGATATAGCCAGCACGATCTATCTTTTGCTGCGATTTTAATAATGTGCGCTTTGAATTCCAATGAAGTGATCTAATGTCAATCTCAAGTATGTCCCACTCCCAGCACGTTTTGCTATTATTTTCACAATGCATGATGATAGTTGAATATCGCATACTGTTAAGTATGCTAATGAATTTTTTGCAGTGAGGAGGTTTTCGATTTTGGTAGTCAAAACCTCACGCAAGCGAAAGAGCAGCACTTGAAGCAACAGTTTTGTGGCCAATTTCAGGAAGTTTTCACCTTGTGTATAACTATACTTGTGAGTTTTCGATTCTGTTGCTTGATAAGCTTTTCGATACGATTGTTCCTCGTATTCTAGGAGAAATGCCCGGCCAACTCCATTGTCGAGGCGACGTTGAAAACTTTACACCGATTTCTTTCATGGATTCCTGTTGGCTATGTTTTTGAGACGGACATCACACAGCTTTTGAGTGAAAATGTGCGTTTTTTAGTTTATGGCACTCGACACTAAACTCTTTTGTATTCCTTTTATTTAGTTCCTCTCTTTGGAAGTTTATCGCGTTGTGACACTGCAATGCTTAACAGAAATTTCAATGATACAAATCGAAGCTGAAGATAATGCCTATAAAGAGAAACTGTGCGCTATGTTCTGCGCCACCATAAAGGAGGTGAGTTTTCATTGAAGCCTATCCCTTTGTGTCAGATTGCAGGTAACTCTGAATAAAAGTTGTCTTATGTTTACTTCCAGATTGGCAGTCTATTGGGTGAGGGTGCAGACCTTGCTGCAGCATATCAGAAAGGATCTGACCAGGACCAGAAATTTATTTCCTGTCTGGCACAATTCCTTGTAGCCTTCCTCAAAGACCACTCCGCGCTAGTTGAGGTTTGTTCGAATTCGTAAACTTATAGAGAACGACACTGAATGTGCCCAATGAAACTAATAAATCCTCACGTTCAGTTAGCCTTTTTACAGTTTTGAGTAATGACTTAAGGGATTCGTTTTTGTCAATATTTAGTATGCTCTCTCATAAGAAATACCATCTTTCCTAATGTACATGCAGCGCGTGTAGCGACTCATATGGGTTACCCGATTTCTCAGTATTTTCATATGAAATGTCCTTTTCTGCCGTTGTCAAAAACCCATATTGACTTTTTGTTCTACTGTACGTGAACGCCATCTTATAACATCTATGTGGTAATTTTGAATTGGATAGTAAAGTCGGTGAGAAGTAATAACACCACCTACCCTGGAACTCGGTGGAAGCTCATGTTATTTCGAAACAAAAGTTATGTGTTACGACAGCGTATTGGTGATTTTCTGTAGCAGCCTAATTTCTTCTTCAAGTGCAGTTTTCCCTGAAAACTTTTATCCTTAAAAACTTCTATAAATCGAGCATAAAATTGTTATGGAAAGGGTCTTCTGAATGTCGGGTGTTGCGAAAATCGAATTGATACAGCATGCCGATTTGTTTCCATTAGGTACAAGTGCAAGGCAGCTATAAAAAGTAGCTCCCGATTATTGATTGGCTAGAGTTCGAAAGCAGAAAATGTATTTTGCGCTTGTTGCGTTGGCATTATGTGGCTATTTGTTTAGAACTACAACGAAGCATGCCCACAAGTTACCGAATATCACAAGTATGCCATAGAATTACTGCTATCGATAAGCCAGGTGGAAGACGTTGAAATCTTTAAGGTTCGTTGTTTCAGCTTTCCGGTTTTAAGCTTTTACTGTCAAAAATGTCCATAAATGGATCCGTTATTGAGTCGTTAAAAGCGAATTTTCCTCAATATAGCTTGGATTTTCCATCACAGATGAATTGAGTTTTTGATACTGCCTTACTGAGCATCCACCTCTTTTAAGGTATGTCTTGACTATTGGTGTGCTCTGACATCTGAACTCTATCGTCTGAATCCATTTGCGCCACCATCTCCTCCCATCGCTATATCATTTACCTGCGGGGGTCCAACTGGCGGTAAAGAACATCCGAGGCGAAAGTTGTATAAGTTAGTTTATTCGTTTTTCTTCAGTGCTTCTCTGATTTGCTGGGAAAATTTAAGTAACATTTTCTATTCAGGGAGCATTTGTCTCATTTGCGTACCATCATGATTTCCCGAATGGCAAAGCCAGAAGAGGTGCTAGTAGTGGAGAACGATCAAGGAGAAGTTAGTTTTTTTCCGAGATGGTTTCTTATTTTTTTCTCGCACACATTTTCAATAGTTTTTCTATAGGTTGTACGTGAAATTGTCAAGGACACGGATTCCATCACGCTTTATAAGAACATGCGTGAATGTCTTGTCTACCTCACGCATTTGGACTGCAAAGATACTGAGCAGAAAATGACGGATAAGCTTGCCAGTCAGGTTGGATAGTACTTGTTGCTCTCACCTCTACTCGAGAGTTTTAAAAAGTGATACACAAGGGAGACCTGATGGCAATGCAAACGGGTTCATGGGGCATTTGCACAGTTGTTTTCTATTTGAAAAGTGTTATTTTCGCTGACGGTTGAAAATGACTTCTTCGGTATCATTGGGTCTTCTGGCTCGGATCAAATAAAGCCGGTGGGATCATGTTACTACCACGCACCAGCTCGATTTCGGAGCATAGTTGTGAAGACAAGGGAATGCAGCGGTTGATGTAGCCCGCCACCTTGCAGATTGGTAGCAAATATTGTCACACCCGGCCTTTTAGGCCATTTTTCATTGCTTACTATCACTTTTGGTTCCGTTTTGTACTTAGTTTGAAGACCTGTTCGACGACTTTTCTTTATTCGTAGGAGAATATCCAATCTTTTTTCCAATTCCAATTTTAGGTGAACGGATCGGAATTCTCGTGGAAAAATTTGAATACCCTATGTTGGGCAGTTGGTTCGATATCTGGTACAATGATCGAAGAGGATGAGAAACGTTTTCTAGTCCTCGTCATCAGAGGTCGGTCTTTTTTCGCTATTATCCTCCAAATCTGTCTACTCATATGTCACTTGGTTATTTCTGGTATCGTCGAACACTTTTTCTACAATTGGATATTTCATCAACAAGGCCTTTGAGAAGGTGTTTGTGATGTTTGAAGTTTATTCAGATTTGCTTGGCTTATGTGAGCAGAAACGCGGTAAGGACAATAAAGCAGTAATTGCGTCAAACATTATGTATGTTGTGGGACAATATCCGCGATTTTTGAGAGCTCATTGGAAATTCTTGAAAACGGCAAGTCTTTCCCGATTTCCAGTTTTATTTATTGTATTTCTCGCAATCGCTCATTTGCGTTCCATTTAAGGTTATCAACAAACTGTTTGAGTTCATGCATGAAACCCATGAAGGAGTTCAGGACATGGCATGCGATACGTTCATCAAGATCGCCATGAAATGCAAGCGTCATTTTGTCATTGTTAGTTTTTTTTTCTGTCCAAGAGTTTCGAATTATATGAATATGCTGTACGCCTACTAATATAGATGCAAGTTGGCGAACAAACTCCGTTCATCGATGAAATGCTAAAGAACTTAAGTGGCATAATTTGTGATCTTGCACCTTCTCAGGTACGGTTGTCCGTTTTTCTGCGCTTTCTATTCAATTTCCGTTACTAGTAACCAATTCGTGAGTTTTTGGAAAATGTCTGAAAAAGTATCACTCACAGAATTAATTCCTTTTGAAGTGCCCTGAGTATATACTTCTCTTCCCAATATCTAATGATTCACTATACAGGATTGTCTTTTTTGTATTTCATATCTTTGACCCCTATTACGCTGACTGAAGCAGGAATTGAGGTAAAAAGTTAGTTCAAGTATAATTTGGAAATCCCGAGAGATTCAGGAACCCAGTAACCAGGACGTTGCGCTCTTCGTGGCATTTTGAACAGGTTTCCTTCAAATGGGACATTGGCAGGGAATTTTTTGGAATAATGAGCTATCAAAACCCAAGAAATTGAGTTTCGTGAGAGCTTGTGTCTAGAGGATCAAGTTCGCTGAGCTCCACCTAGTTGTGTTTCCGTTTTTTCCAACTTATGTCGCTATCAAAAATCGCCTATATTGGCACCTTCCCACGATCGTTAAACTTTTCCTGATTTTATTGTAGTGCTTGCGCCGCGGAGTAATGAAGATAAATGAGCAGCGAGTCTTTTAGTAGAAGTTTAAGATCATTTGCAAATGTATGGGGATTAACACACTGTTTAGGTTCATGTTTTCTATGAAGCGGTTGGGCACATAATTTCTTCCGCTAGCGATGAACCTGATCAGCAGGCTGACCTGATAGAAAAGCTGATGGCGTTACCGAACTCTGTTTGGGACGAAATAATCGCGAATGCTGGCGAGAACATGGCTGTACTCGAGGACGCGGAGGTAAATTCGCTTAGAGTTTGGTGCCGGACCACGTTTTTTATCGATGCTTTCCTAGGTGTCAAGAAATCTCCTGAATATACTGAAAACCAATGTCGCATGTTGTAAAGCTGCTGGAAATCCGTTCATCACACAGCTCAGTCGGTTGTACATTGATTTACTTTCCCTTTATCGTATCTTATCAGAAAAAGTCTCGACAGCTGTTGAACAAAATGGACAAGAAGTGTTAAAGGTAACCTAAAGTTTTACTTTCTGTGTCGAAAGCTTTGGAATGATACTGCTAATTTGCTTATTGGCTGTTTTTAAGATGCCATTGCTCAAGACGATGCGTGCGGTGAAACGTGAGATTTTGATTTTGATTTCAACCTGGGTAGCCAGTGCGAAAGACAGACAGGTTGGTTGCTTGGCCACTGTAGTTGAGTCCCACTTTTGCGAACAGTTGTAATCACGGTAATGTTGTTCGATTTCAGATGGTTCTTGAAAACATTGTTCCTCCTCTTTTTGATGCTGTGCTGTTTGATTATCAGAAGAATGTTCCAGCAGCTAGAGAACCGAAAGTACTTTCGCTTCTCAGCATCATCGTCACGAAACTCGGGGTGATTTTTGAAGTTTCTGTTGATTTTTTGTAAAAGCTTGATCTTTACTAATCCTTTCGTTATTTACTGATGTCATGTTTAGTCGATGTTGGCTTCACAAGTGCCTCAAATCCTTGCTGCTGTTTTCGAGTGCACTCTGGAAATGATAAACAAGGACATGGAAGTAAGTCCTTGTTTCTTATCGAAATAACGGGGAAGTATGTGATTTTTCCATGAGTCCATGAAAATTCCAATATTCTGAACTTCAGGCGTTCCCGGAGCATCGTACTAATTTCTTCCAACTAATTCATGCTTTAACCGTCGAATGCTTCCAAGTTTTTCTCGCTTTACCGCCAGAACAGCTCAGCTACATTATTGATGCGGTCGTGTGGGCGTTCCAGCACTCGATGCGTAATGTGGCTGAGATCGGTGAGTCCTTCTCAAGTGACTTCAGATGCAATCATAATGCTCAATAGCGTTTTGAAGGTCTGGACATTTTGAAAGATATGTTGGATCGTGTTGAATTTTTGCCTCGGGAACAATCGCAGCCTTTCTACAAGCGCTTCTACATGCAGATTCTCCAACATGTCTTAGCCGTTGTTGCTGACAGCAGCCAAGTTCATGTTGCTGGTGCGTTTCCTATTTCCTACTTGTTTTCGTTTCAAAGTGCGCTCATGGCAACACATATTCGCAAACTTCTCGAAATGGAACCTGTTCACTTTGTAAATATCAGTAAGTGAAAAGAAAGGCTTTATGCGCGACAAGTGGACAGCCGAATCGAATCATACCAGTGTTCTTCCCGGGGGTTTCAAATGTAGGACTGTGTTGATCTCGCAAAATTAGTCATAAATTTAATAGTAATCCCTTTAGAGTTATGCTACTACCCAACAGTCTGGAAATTTTTGAGGAAAACACGCCGTCTTTGATCAAATACCGCCCAACATCGTTTTTTACAATGCAGCAATATGCGCAACTTTGTTTCGTTAGCATCATCATAGGTTCTCGCAACATCTTAACGAATACGAAACTCGTGAGCTATAGAGAAATGTGGAAAAAAGACGGAAAAAGAGTTAAGCTTCAGCTTTTTTGATCTACGTAGTCATTGGTTTCTTTCTTAAGTAGTCGGGAGGCGCGCCCTTCGATTGCAACCTGTTACGGCATTGGCGTTGTTTACATATGTCGCTGTTGGCGCTTCAAGGTTATTTTGCTCAAGAATTGCTCCCCTTACCCGAGCTCTTCAGTCGTTATTTCGCACCATCAGCTATTCATTTTCCACCTCCTTAACCGCGCAATGAGGGGAGTGGATGTACTGAGGCTTTGAACTGGATCTGAAGGTAGATCGCTTTCATTACTCTGAAATTCTCACGTTACTTCAATTGTAGCTGAATTCCTGACTTCATGAGTGAAGTTGCTCAACAGAATATATACGTGAGTGTCAATGTTTTCCTCACCCACTGCTTCGCTGCCTTCGATCTGTTTGTCCCGATTGTCAAAAATCGATGTCAACCGTTTTTGTCAAATCTAAATTTGAACATATTCAACGGCTAATCAATGGAGTTGCTGAGCAAGTCCTACTTAATTTGAATGATGGTTTTTATCTCTTCATTATAAAATATACATTTGATGGCGTTAATTCCTTCGACTGCTTATAGGTCTCACATACTACGCAGAGGTGTTGTGTAGACTGTTCAAAGCTTGTGAATTCTTGATCACGGTGCCTTTGAATGATGATAATCCGAAACAAAGCAATGTCGACTACATCTACGAATATATCGCCAATATATTCGTGCAGCATTTCACTAATCTTACCGAGTAAGTATGGTATTTCTACACCTATTGTACTGCTTCAACTATCGTTACATGTTTCAGAGGCCAAATTCGAGTTATCATCAAAGGGTTCTTCAGTTTCAATACAGACCAAGGCGGTATGCGGAACCACCTTCGCGATTTTCTTGTGCAAATTAAGGTTACTTTCCTTTACATACTTATCCTTTTTGTTTTTTTTTTCTGCAAAGTTTATAAGTTAAACGGATTTATTGCTTTCCTTTCCAGGAATTCAACGGTGAAGATACCTCTGATTTGTTCCTCGAGGAAAGGGAAGCTGAGATCCAAGCAGTTCAAGCGAAGAAGAACGCCGTACCAGGAATGCTCGACCCGAATGCGATGGCCGACGAGGACGAGATGCGCTAATTGTTGCCTCTCAGCTCGGGTTCCCTCAATCAAGGTTCACTGTTCATCGAGTGCGCTCTGGTCAAAAGTTGGTTGATTAGCTTTTCAACGTTGAGCATGGTTGCTATTCCGGTTCCTTTGCGCTTGGTGTGCATTAGCAAAGTTTGTATGAAGGCACCGGTAGGATTGAACAATTGTTAATCATGTTGTTGAGTTTCTTACTTCATTATTACTATTTGCGTTGTTTTCTACTACATTATTCCGTTGTCATCGTCTCCAACGACTTGTGCTCCTATTCGTGTGTGAGTTTTACAGTACTATATATCCAAGTGCAGTGTCTTTTATATTCAGTTCCTCCTTTACTCCACATGTCGTGCCCCTCACCACAACACAGCCCGCGCTCGTTGGTAATTTTTGTACTTCAATGTTAATGCAATGTTTATTTCGGTACGTATTCTGCCGCCCTCCCCCTATTTACGATCTCTCCCCGTGTGAGCGTGTATTCTATCGCGCACCGTTCAAGCGTCATTCTTTACAATTGTGGTAATGAAGTAATTCGTACATTTCAATAAACTTTTAGTATTTGTCGCTGAATCCGAACTTGTGGTTACAATTGAAATCGAAAATTAACAACTCACTCAGTGCTATCCACCACGCAATGAAAAGTCACCCAAGTGCCACGATAAGCGCGAAAGGCCGCTCAAGAGCTTTTTAGGATTATCCGAGGAGGTAGCAAAGGGAAGAAGTGTTCAGTCAAGCATATTTCATCAAGAACAAAATCTGATTTTGTGGAGATGCCCATGTAGTTCACGTGCTCCATCGCCAATCTCTACCGATCGTGGACCGTATGTAGAATGCCAGAGTGGCTACTTTCATAGTCCGCCGGCCGGGGGCGGCGCTTGCCCCTTGTTTAGTACTGAGTTCTGGTCGATACCGCCGGCCGCACGCGGACCGACCGGCGGACTATGAAAGTAACCAATGGGCGGGGTGCTGCACTCAAAGAACTGATTTCGATTGGCGGGAACATACGAACAGTGTTTCTAGTGGCCACGGGTCAGTCAGGTGATTGGGGAGCAGAAAATTTTGGAAGGTTGGCACATCTAACATAGGCTACGAATTAACTCTAGCGTTGGCCTATACGACTCTGCCTACCAACTTGATTTATAAGTTCATTTCAAGCGACTCCGATCCAAACCACAAGACATTATTAGCGATTATTTCGGTCCGATGGCAGTCGGGCGCTTCGGTTTGGATTGGCTGAGTTCATGTCCCTCCAACTGCTTGAGTTCGGACCCAAACATTGGAGTTGATGTGCGTGTCTATCGTACACTATGAACACCGTATCTTGTCATTCTCGTGGGAATCTTTCATAGAGGGGGACAAAGAAATGGGATCTGCGAGGGTGGAAGGATGGGAAGGCAAGAGATGAATGGAATCGATTTCAATAGCAATTCATTCAATGGCACGGAAGAGCGCCTCTGGATAAAGAGAACGCTAGGACAAGTTCCCAATCTGTTTTGCAAAATGGGTGAACTCGAGTGGACCAAATCTTGTTTGGGATTTGGAAAGCAACCATGTTAGCCAGTGCACAAGGGAAGACCAGCGGTGCCCGTAGAAGCCTACATGGGAAGCTTGGCAACCTTGACCTTACTTCAATTGCCAAAATTCTTGAATTCAACTGCATAACCACTATTCAATTCTGAAACTGTCTTTGGCTCACAGACAGCACTGAGTGTGTGGGAGCTGGGGTAACGTCCGTTCCGCGCGTCCGTCAAAGCTAGGTCACCTCGCTTACTTCGCGCTCGCCACAGCCCACTGCAACCAGGAGATGGCATTACAGTACCCCAAGTGTCAGTGGATTCCTTGGTTCATACTAGGAGGGGGCTGCAAGCTGCTAACCTTCAACATTCTGAAGCCTCAGGGATTCTTTGAAATGAGCATTCAGAGAGTCGAGCGTTATGATTTGCTGAGGAAATCGTAGGTGGGAAGTCTTAAAATGCTTAAGGTAGATGGCTGATGTAAGGAACCCGCTGGATTCCGAAGTTTACACTTTATGTAAGATTCATTAACTTATTCCGCAGATATGGCCCAGCTTGAATGCGCTCTCATGCGTAAACCCATGCAAAAATATGTGGTGTAACACCGTGAATCCGAGCGCGCCACTTCACAGAAATGAGCCCGGACTCTAACCGAAAGATCACATTGATTGGGTTGGCATCCGGCTATGCCAACCCTCCTATTCGTTTGATTGCGGCTGAAGCCCACTTCAGCTTACCCGTGCTGCCCGATAGGCCGTCGGGCAGTTCGGCTAGCCAATTCGGCTCAATCCCTTCACGGGATGGTGTTGGCTTGGCCCTGCTGAGCCGAATTGCCCNCCGGTTCATCGGACCTTCGGCAGCGTATATCGTCCTGGTTGAACTTGTGAATTTCACTGATTCAGAGAGAGTAGGCAAAGGTAATTGAGAGCGGATAGTTTGAGAAGCAAAAGGTGCTTCGGTATTGGTGAGTGAATGAATAATAATAATAAACAACTACGACGAAGAAGGAAATGAATCTCACGCCTGACTGCCTTCTGTTCTTCTTCAAGACTTTCCTTCAGTTTTGGGTCAAACAATAAGCCACAGAACCAGCTTAGAAGCCGTCAAGCTTCAACATCCCTAATACTTAAGGAATTAGCAGTTCGGAAGCAAATGCTTTTTATCTTCTGATCTGAACAGAGCAGGAAAGAAAAAGCCACCCCTCCCTTTCTTTCAGGATTGAAAAATTTTAAGCATCCGCTTCAACATCCTGCTTACAACATTTGACCACCTTCAATTATCTGATGTCCGGCGATCATCCTGGTGCCGAAACTTTGCCAACTATGCCTTTAGGAGTGCGCTCGCTGGAACTCACTGTGATCACTGTCTCCGTAATCGGTGTAAAGGAACGAACTCCTTTAGAATGGAAGAATAACCTCAGTTTTCATAAATATCAAACGATGCATCAACCGACCTCTCACCCTCTTCTCCCGACTCAGCCGGCGCAGGCAAGTCGGGATACCCAGTGGTTTGAGGCAAAGAAGCCAAGAAATCTGGCCGAATTTTTCCTATTCATTCGAACTGCGGGGTGGAGCCGAGCACTGGACTGAGTTTCGGTATAGTTGTAGACACTTGCACCTTTTTCGCCTATTTTCCTTATTCTTAGCTTATATTCCTTCTTCTTTATTTTATTATTTATTCATCAAGCAAGAACACTAGCTATTTTCCCATGGCAGTGAGATATGCCAGGAGTCAGACAGTTATGGTATGTGGCGTGACATGGTAGTTAGATGTTTTGCAATTGCTTAACCACTCAGTGCTATTCGGCTGTCAACAGTAACCCCATAGGTCTAAGAACGGTAAAAATACGGTAAGAGCTTGGCTTATTGCTTGTTCCAAGACGATACGGTAGTGTACAAATTTATTCAAATGCGTCAGCCCGTATTCCAAGCAAAAATAGACGAATTATCTGTGAAAAATATGTCAACATAATATTATAGTTATACAAGTAGTAATATTACGAATATCGTAAGTGGTACTGTAGGACAAAATTGTCAGAAAACAGAAGATAGCATAGTTCAGCCAATTTCCATCGAAATGACTCTGACTCCTATAAACCACCAATTATAGTATTGTACAACATTTCTTTTTCTCTCCTACTGGTATAGTTTCCACGGAAGCCGTCAGAGATGGTTGCAGATCATTCGACGATGGCTGAGTGACGACCACCTTGGGTAGGACAGGTCGAGTATCCTGCTGAAACATATCAACTATAGTGTAGAGTGATGTAAAGTGCAAGATAAAAAGATAAAGGGTGAGTCTTTGGCGTTAGCGTTAACCAATCTCGTTTTTGGGATGCGCATCGCATTCGACTTTTAGTCGGAATGGTAAAGGCGTTTTGAATGCAGACGTGGCCTAGCAGTGGCCAGCCAATTTGAAGGTCAGTGCTTACATCCCTTCAGATGAGTCTGGTGCCATACAACGAGCCTGGAGTCATGGAAGGCTTGGTTGTATGGCCAGTATCGATCCGGAATTCGATTCATGGAGTATGCGTGTATGATGGTGCGCCACATGCCACTACACCATCTTGTAGGCGCAGAGTCTAGCCCAATTTAATTGAATTGACTTTCACTGATTACGAGCGAGATCATTGTTAAGTATGAGCAAAAACACTTTATGGAAGAGCCCACGTTTGAACTGGCTCAGGTATCAAAAGTGTCGAAAGGGAAATGGAATGACTTGACAATACTTTATCTGAAAACATACGCAACATCAGTGCTCTAGATGTAACGGAACCACTTCCCTTTAGTGCAGAGTCCGATCAGGCCAAACTTTCCGTTTTGATTTGAAAATTCGGAAGCTTCGAAAGGAAAGCGAGTAAGTTTGCGGAACATGCGCATTATCTTCTCCAAAGGCACAATACACAGTGAATTGGTTTCTAAGATTTTTCGATAGAATGAACCTCAGGCCCACAAGAATAGTATTTGGGTCGCGTCGCGCTAAACAGGGCGTGATAAAGGCTCCACAAAACTGGTTTGGCAACGGCACTCAAAGTAGCCGTGCTATGCCGGCCTGGTCTGCACTATTCAAAGGACGAGACAAATAGGACGCCCAAGTGAGAGACACCCAAACGCGGTCACAAACTTTTCTGAACGAATGATCCATCTTTTTTGCTGTCTTCGCTACCAAGAGCATTTTCAGACAAGTTTCCAAATTCGTCCTGGTCTAAACAAATCAACCTCTTGCAAAAGCAGAACGATCTTCGATTTGGTTCGTTTTCGGGTCGCTCTGATTGACTGGGAAAAGTGGCCAAAAGAAGAACTCGCTAGTTTTCGTTCTTGGGTTCGGCACAAAATTGACCTGCGAGTTGCAGGCTTGACAGTTACTTGATAAGACATATTATTAGGATTTAAATCAGTCGAGAATTTTTTGCAGCTTTTAGTCATTCATTATGCATTTCTCAGTTGTGAAAAAAATATATTACAAAAAAAACAT